TCATGACATACATAAAAAAAGACACTCTAAAAAGGAGTGTCCTAAAAGAGCTGATGTGGTCTGGCCCCAACCCCTCCCTCAGCTGACACCCAGCCCAGGAGAAGAGGCTGGAGGGAGAGGCCAGAAGAGCAATGAGAACAGGGTTTCTGACACAGACCATGGGACCTGCATTTCAATTCCGCCTGGTTTCTGTCTGTATATTAAATCACATTTACAGCAGCTGAGCACAGAGTTCTGGCACAGAAAACAGGGAGCCCTGCGTTTGAAGCTCTTTCTCAAAACAATACTTTCAGAAGAGAGCTTGGCTCTCCCTCTGTCCTCTACATGGACCGGAGAGGCCTCCATCCCCCAAGAGTGCGTCCTGCAGGGGACCCTCTGCTTAAAATCAAAGCCCTCTCGCCCCAAATGCTCTTCAAGGCTGAAGTAAGACACACTCTTTCCCTGTGAATCGCATAAGACAAGGGGAGGAAAAAAAAATAACATTCCTTTTTATAACTACCCTCTAATTTGTCAAAGAAAGCGATCCATCTGAAGTCACAGATTGTGGTGACGCAGGGTTTGTTTGGGGAGGTGGAGCACAGCACAGTGTTCAGGTTTAGGAGGGAGTCAGGTTCAAAGCCTAATTCTTATAAGCCCAAAATGCACTCATGGAGAGGTAAAAGTGAGCAATGTGGAAGGAACCCCGTCACCAGGATCCTTTCTGGAGCCCCGATGTGGAAGACTGGAGTGGCAGCATCAATGAGGCAGCTCCTTGGCGACTCGGCCTGTGAGTCACTGCTCTCAGATGGGCTCACTTAACATCTCTAATTTGGGACTGGAGCAGCAGAAGGGCCCCACGTTAGCCTTGCTTTGTCCTTCCCCTTTCACTTGGAGTTCCATGGCCTGAATGTTGGCTGCCATTCACTGCAAGGCTCGGGACATCTAGGGTGATTCATCTTCACACTGATCACACTAAGGACCTGCCCATGATATTAGGGAGTAGGAGCTGTGGGGGGCGGGGGATGGGCTCAAGGCTCAAGGAAAGAACTCAGTTTTATATCAGATTATTGATCAAAGAGAAACCAAACACACAGAGGAGCAGAAAGAAATGCCAAAATGTTGAGATGACCTTGCAATTTAAAAGTTTCTTATAACACAAACATAGGTGGCTATGCATAGAACATCTCAGGAAGGCTGTACTGGCAAGTGCTAACCCTGAGGGTGGCGCATGGGTGTAGGAGGGAACCTGACCTTTCCCTGTTACAGTCTGTATAACTGTTGGAGTTTTGTACTATGTGTGTATATGTGATTAAAAATTTTTTCTTAGTCTTGCACGTCAAAAGACTTAATAGGACTGTAGCAAATACTTAATAAATACAGACTAAACCACTGTGCTGTTTCAGGAACTAGCATTTAGCAGCTGCAGTGCCTACTGTGTGCCTAAGCCCTTTGGCCATCCCTGTTATGCAGATCTTAGAAAATGGAGGTTCCTCTAGGAAGAGCGCAGTGGGATACCACCCAGGTCTGCGGAAGCCAGAGCTCTGCTCCTCGGTGAGGATCACACCGCCCTCCTCCCTGGAGTGTGCAGTTGGAGGCACCAGATGTTCTGGCAGGATCCAGAGAGATGCCATCTGTGAGGAAAACCTATTCTTAGAGAGCGGAGACAGTCGGTAGTGGAGACTGCCAACTCCCAGCAGCAGTGGGGACACTTCGGGAGGGCAGGTGGCCAAGGCTTTACCTCCAGCAGGGGGCAGGACAGACTAAAAACAGGCTGGACTCAGTTCTCAGGACCATACTTCCTCCCACGTTTGGTCGCTATATTAGAAATAACAGCAACGCTTGTTGAGGGCTTACTTTATGTGTCGTATCATCTAATCCTCCAGACCGCCCTATGAGCTATGTGCTATCACAACGCCTATTTTACAGATGAGGAAACGGAGGCACAGAATGGTTGAGTGACTTGCCCAAGGAAATGGTGAGGACAGGGCTTGAGCCCAGGCACTCTGGACCCAAAGCCTATGTCCCTAACCACCATGTTATAACTGCCATTCAACCTGCTGCACCAGAGGCCAGTTTTAGTTTGGGCTCCCCCAACAGCAGACCCGAAGACAAGGCTTTGCAAGTGGTTCGTATGGGGAGTGGCCACAGGAAGCAGTGGTAGAGGCATAAGGAAGGGAGACGGGAGGGTGGTATCAAGCAAGTTAGCACTGTGGGCAGTCGGAGCTCAGTGCTGCTGGGGAGCTCTGGAAACCAGGGCAGAGGACACACCTCCGGGTCATCCCACTGCGGACTGCAGGCTGCGGGGGTCAGGTACTTATCAGCCCTCGGTTAAGCGCTGCTCCAGGAATGTGTTAATCCCCCAGCACTTCAGGCCACTGCAGGGTAGCAGAGCAGGCATGAGCGGCAAGAGTTCTCAGGCAGAAAGACATAGGAGTGGCAACTGGAAAAGTTGGCTGGCGTGCACTGATGTGGTAAGTTAGAGTGGACGGAGGCAGGGCACCCTACTCCTCCTAACCTCCACAGGGTGAGTTAAAGGATCTTCAAAATAACCAACTCCCAGCTTGCAGTAAAATGTGGCTGAGAACACTGCTTGTAGAATTGGACATAATCCCACCTCAATTCCCTAACAGCTCTGTGACTTATTTCTCACATGGAATAATAATGGTTGGCCCCTATCACCCCTGACTCCCTCATTACTCAAGGTGTGGCTCAGACCAGCATCTGCAGCACCTGGGAGCCTGTGAGAAATGCAGAGTCTCAGGCCCCATTCTAGGCCCACTGAATCAGAATCTGTATTTTATTTATTTATTTTTTTTTTTTTTAATTTTTTTTTTGAGACGGAGTCTCACTCTGTTGCCCGGGCTAGAGTGCCATGGCGTCATCCTAGCTCACAGCAACCTGAAATCCTGGGCTTAAGCGATCCTCCTGCCTCAGCCTCCCGAGTAGCTGGGACTATAGGCATGCGCCACCATGCCCGGCTAATTTTTTCTATATATTTTTAGTTGTCCAGCTAATTTCTTTCTATATTTAGTAGAGACGGGCTCTCGCTCTTGCTTAGGCTGGTCTCGAACTCCTGAGCTCAAACGATCCGCCACCTCGGCCTCCCAGAGTGCTAGGATTACAGGTGTGAGCCACCGCACCCAGCCTGTATTTTATTTTAATAAAATTTCCCATGACTCGTGTACGTTTCTACTAGTAATTCTAAAATACAAAAAGAGACTGGTGCCCATTCTACTAAGTGAAGTATCACAAGAATGGAAAAACAAGCACCACATGTATTCACCATCAAATTGGTATTAATTGATCAATATTTATGTGCACATATAGTAGTAACATTCATTGGGTGTCAGGCAGGTGGGGAGGGAGAAGGGGATGGGTATATTCACACCTAATGGGTGCAGTGTGCACCGTCTGGGGGATGGACACACACACTTGAAGCTCTGACTTAGGTGGGGCAAAGGCAATATATGTAACCTAAACATTTGTAGCCCTGTAATATGCTGGGAAAAAAAAGAGACTGGTGGGGTGAGTATATTAATAGAAGTGTACCTACTAGACCAAGGGTCTCAAATTGGTAGCCCATGGACCAAATTTTCCTGGAGACTTGTTTGATTTGTCTAGCCTGGTGGTTTTAAAGCATCAGTCTCCAGTTTACTATGTCCCCATCACTCCCTACTGCATAGCACCCTGAACACTTCCATTTATGCCATTGCAGGCCCCTGTAGGCATTTCAGTTTACACCTCCTTCTGGCCCAGATCCTATAACTAGATAACATTTGCATAGTATAGCTTCATTTCTAAATTTGAAGCAAGGCACTGAAAAAAAAAACATGCGCTTTGAAATCAGACAGATCTAGTTTCAAATTCTGATTAGGCTGTCATGTGAGTCATATTACCTTGGGCAAGTTACTACCCTGTCTCGTCCTTAGTTTCTGCATATGTAAAATGGGAATCAAAATACATACCTGCAAGGTGATTCCATGGATTAAAAATAATATGTGCGGCCTGTAATCCCAGCACTCTGGGAGGCCGAGGTAGGAAGATCGCTCGAGGTCAGGAGTTCTAGACCAGCCTGAGCAAGAGCAAGACCCCGTCTCTACTAAAAATAGAGAGAAATTAGCTGGACAACTAAAAATATATAGAAAAAATTAGCCAGGCATGGTGGCACATGCCTGTAGTCCCAGTTACTCGGGAGGCTGAGACAAAAGGATTGCTTGAGCCCAGGAGTTTGAGGTTGCTGTGAGCTAGGCTGACGCCACGGCATTCTAGCCCGGGCAACAGAGCAAGACTCTGTCTCAAAAAAAAAAAGAAAAAATGATAATAATAATAATATGTGCAAAGCACTCAGGAGGAAGTAGGAATTCACTAAAGGGAAGTAATTAGTATTAGTGGCAGTAGCTATAGTTGTAAAGTCCAATGTGGACACCAGGTAGTATGATTATCTCATTTTATGATAAATTGAGGCTCTTGAGAGGCCCAGAACCTTCCCCAAGGTTACACAGTGGTGGAGTGGGGACTCAAACCCATGTCCTCTAGCTCTAGATCCGCACTGTCCACGAGAATCTTCTGCGGATATACAGGTATTCTATATTTGTGTTGCTCATATGGTAGCCACTAGCCACATGTGGCTACTGAGCACTGGAAACATGGTTGGTCCAAACTGAGGTGTGTTGTGTAAAACATTCACCTGATTCTGAAGTACAGAATAAAGAGTGTAGGGCCGGGCGTGGGCGCGGTGGCGGTGGCTCACGCCTGTAATCCTAGCACTCTGGGAGGCTGAGGCTGGAGGATTGCTTGAGCCCAGGAGTTGGAGACCAGCCTGAGCAAGAGCAAGACCCTATCTCTATCAAAAATAGAAAAATTAGCCAGGTGTGATGGCTCATGCTTGTAGTCCCAGCTACTTGGGAGGCTGAGGCAGGAGGATCACTTGAGCGCAGGAGCTTGAGACTGTAGTGAGCTGTGATGATGTCACTGCACTCTAGCCTAGGGCAACTAAGCAAGACTCTATCTCAAAAAAAAAAAAGAAAAAAAATGACCCCTGAGGCCCAGAGAGGGCTGTGACTTGCCCCTTCTCATGGAAGGCAGCAGCACAGCTGGAACCAAGCCCAAGACTCCTCTGCCAGATTCGGCCACTTGTTCCATCATTCAAGGATACCTACTGGGATTTGAAAATCAGTGCTTTTACTTCGGCCAGTGGAACCCTGGGATAACACACGCTGGAGTCTGAGGCCTGTGATCTTGCGAAGGTGGTATCCTCCGGGAGGGTTTGCTGATGGAGCCAAACCCTGTGCTGCAGCCGATGCTGACTGGAGCCTACTTGGGTGGAGAAGCCCCCCACAAGCACCTTGGGGCTGTGTTACTTGGAGGGGCGGCTCTTGTTATAGATGAGGAAGTCTGAAATGTCGTGCCAGACATTGCTGTCATTGTAGAGGTAGGTCATGGAGGACTGCAGTGAGGGCTGCAGTGTGGCCCGGTGATACTCAAAGAGCCACAGCACCAGCCCCCACACCAGTGCATTGAACACCGGGGACAAGTCCTGCTTGGGCTCAGGGATGTAGCCCTTCTCCATACCCAGGCGGCACAGGGCAAACAGGACACGGGACAACAGGTACATGCTGATCTGCAGAGAGGGAATGACGGGGATTACTGGTAGGCGAAGCCACTAGGAACCTTCTTCCTACCCACCCCCATGCACTGATTGTGTTTTTTAAAGAGGATGTGTAAGAGGACTTGAAATGGTATGTAGCAGGCATTTTAATATTCCTATGTCTGTCTTTTATTATTCTATTCCATTTTAAATTTAAAAGAATGAACACATTTACATGCTTCAAAACAAAGAGGTAGGCTGGGCACGGTGGCTCACGCCTATAATCCTAGCACTCTGGGAGTCCCAGGCAGGCAGATCCTTTGAGCTCAGGAGCTCAAGATCAGCCTGAGCAAGAGCGAGACCCCGTCTCTACTAAAAAAATAGAAAGAAATTAGCTGGACAACTAAAAATTTTTAAAAAAAACTAGCCGGGCATGGTGGCGCATGCCTACACCAAAAAATGACTCATAAAAGGAAAAATTGATAAATTAGATCTCATCGAAACTCAATATATTTTTTAAGAGTCTTTCTCTGTTGCCCAGGCTAGAGTGCAGTGGCATCATCATAGCTCACTGCAACCTCAAACTCCTGGGCTCAAGCAATCCTCCTGTCTCACCCTCCTGAGTGGCTGGGACTACAAGCACTCATGACCACGCCTGACTAACTTTTATTTTTTGTAGAGACAAGGTCTTGCTATGTTGCTCAGGCTGGTCTCAAACTCCTGGTCTCAAGTGTTCCTCCCACCTGAGCTCCCCAAAGTGCTAAAATTATAGGTGTCAGCCACCGTGCCCAGCCAAAACTTAAAATTTTGAGCCAGGTGTGGTGGCACACACCTATAGCCCTAGTTATTCAAGAGGTTGAGGCAGAAGGATCACCTGTGCCTAGGAGTTTTGAGTCCAGTGTGGGTAACATAGCAAGACCCCATCTCTAAAAAATAAGAAATTAAAACATTTTCTTAGTGAGGCCAGGTGTGGTAGCTCATACCTGTAATCCTAGTACTTTGGGAGGCCAAGGCAGGAGGATCACTTGAGGCCAGGAGTTCAAGACCAGCCTGGGCAACATAGCAAGATCCCATCTCAGAAAAACCAATTTTTTTTTTCTCTGAGAAAGCCCATGAGAAGATGATAGAAAGAAAAGCTACAAGGGCAACATACGTAACCTAAACATCTGTATCCCTATAATATGCTGAAATAAAAAAAAAAGAAAAAAGAAATGGATCCTCCAAAAAAAAAAAAGAAAAGCTACAAACTAGGAGAAGATATTTAAAAACATGTGTGTGACAAAGGACTAGTATCTGGAATATATATATTTTTGAAAATCCTAAAAGTTCAATGGTTTAAAAAAGGAACAAGCCAGTTAGAAAATGGGCAAGACTGACCAGGTGCAGTGGCTCACACCTATAATCCCAGCACTTTGGGAGGCCAAGGTGGGAGGATTGCTCAAGGCCAGGAGTTTGAAACCAGCCCAAACAAGATAGCAAGACCTCATCTCTACAAAACATTTAAAAATTAGCCAGGCGTCGTGGCTAATTTTAGGAACCCTGTCACTAAAAATAAAGTAAAATACAACAGCTAGCATTTAGTCTCATCCTTTATCATCATCATTCCACAAAAAAAGGGAATTTTAAACCAGAAAAAGGACACGTCACAGAATAAGACAATTTTTGCAGTTTAGTATTTTCTTTTATGAAAACCTTACTCTAGGGTCATTTTTTTCTTCATTTCACTAGAGAGTGTTTTTGATTTTTTTTTAAAGTTTGAGAGCTACTGCATTGATTGATTGACAGAGTCTCACTCTGTCACCCTGGGTAGCGTACAGTGGTGTCATTGTAGCTCACTGCAACCTCAAACGCCTAAGCTCAAGCAATCCTCCAGCCTCGGCTTCCCAGAGTGCTAGGATTACAGGTGTGAGCCACTGCACTCCACCTAGAGTAGTTTAAAAAAAAAAAAAAAAAAAAAAATCTCTGCCCCAGAGAGCAGTACGCATACATTAATTTTGGGAATCATGGAACTTTGTCGAACTGCTTGATTGACAGATGGGGAAATTGAGGGGAAAGTGACCTTTCCAAGGTCACACGGGAACTGGAAAATCACAGACCTCAGATATAGAAGGGTCCAAGAGCTCATCTTCTTCAACCCCAACCTTCACCTCTACACCTGACCCATGGCCCACGCCCCAGCCCCACCTCAAGGGAGGATCTTTACCTGGCTATTGATGTTGTTGCGTTCTCCAAACACCAGCATGCCCCCGAAGAAGGCAGCCAGGAATGAGTGAAATTGGTAGGTCTTGCCCTGCACATGGGACTGCAGGGCACAGAGACCCTTGTAGATGAACACAAAGCAGGCCAGGTTCCGGGAGTGGATGTACGTGGCCTGCAGGATGGCCCGCAGCTTCTCCCGGAGGCTGCACAAACACAGGGAGTCCCCCATGAGTGCAGGCCCAGCAATTCCAGGGTGTTTACCCACTGGGCATGGAAACTGCACCATCCATGAAGCTCATGGCCAATGCGCATTCAATCCATGCCTCTACCCTCCAAGTCCTTGGGGCTGCTCCCTCACCTGCTTCCGGTCTTGACTCAATGCCACCTCCTCAGAGAGGCCTTCCCTGATCACCCCATATAAAAGAATGCCCATCACATCCCATCCTCTCACCCTACTTTTCTTTATCATCACCTGACATTTACTTGCTTGTTTATTATCTTCCCCCACCCCTGCCCCACCCAGGACAAGCTACTGGAGAATGGTATCTAGATTTGGCTTGTTTATCCTCAGAACCCAGAACTGGGCTTGGCACATAGTAGGTGTTTAATCAATTTTTTTATTCATTCATTTATTCCTTAGAGACAGAATCTCACTATGTTTCCCAGGCTGTTCTTGAACTCTTGGGCTCAAGTGATCCTCCTGCCTCAGCTCTGGAGTAGCTGGGATTATAGGCATGAGCCACCATGCTCAGCTAATAAATATTTTCTTCAGTAAATGTGAAGAATGTGCTGCATCTGGGTACACAATTCTGAGAACAAACAGATCTGCCCACCACCCTCATAGGGCTCATGTTCCAATGGGAGCAAGAAAGGTAAAATAAATAATCACAAAAGAAGGGTTAAACTTTGACCTTGAGGAGAGCTGATGAATGGGAAAGAATGGATGTGGATGAGGTCAAGGGGTAAGGGGGTTGCATCTCAGGCGCAGCACGGGGCAAGGGCCCTGAGGAGGGACTGAGAGTGGGCAGTAAAGGAACAGAGAGAAGCCACCATGGCATCGAGCAGAGAATGCCTGAGGAGAAGGATGTGGGCCAGAGGCAAGGGAGCCACCCTGAGTTTTGTTTTTGTCCTGAGAAGTGAACATTTAAGTAGAGGTGATTCAGTTTATCTTTTAAAAGTCACTAGGGGGAAGCAAGGAGACCGCAGGGAGAGGAACACAGTGTACTCCTCAATTCAGGAAAGGCAAACTCAAGCGCCCTCAAGGCTAGACAAGGACCATAAACGAGCGAGGTGGGTCCACAGGGCCCTGTGGAAATCTGCCAGGTGGGTAGGGACGCCAGGCAGCTGGTTCTTGCCCCACACAAACATGGGCCCCAGGGTTGCTGGTTCTAAGGCAAGAAAGCTGGATTTCCATGTTAAATCTCCCAGTTTTTAAATGTGGGCACTAATCCTGCCTTAAAAACATTTCTAGAGACTGACCACTCTTCTCTCTTCCAAGACCACCACCAAGATCCAGGCTACCATCGTTGCTTACTTGGATCATTGCCCCAGCCTCCAGCATAAACCTACTTCTGCCCTTGTGCGGCCCCTCCACCCTCCCCCCATACCAATCTCTTAACCTGGTAGCAAATTCTTAACCTTCACACTGTTAAACCCTAAGTAAAATAATGGCACACTCCTGCTCAAAATCTTACAACAATCTCCCAATTAAAGGAAAAAGCCAAACTCCCCTCTTCTCTAAGGTCTAAAGCAGGAGAGAACCGATGCAGGTTTCTGCTGCGACCCTCCCCTCTGTCTTCTCTCCCCTTCAAACCCTCCCCTCCAGGCCTGGTGCTGTGCTCAGCCTGTAATCATAGCCCTCTGGAAGGCCAAGGCAGGAGGATGGCTCGAGCTCAGAAGACCAACCTGAGCAAGAGTGAGACCCCATCTCTACTAAAAATAGAAAAATTAGCTGGACATTGTGGTGTGGGCCTGTAGTCCTAGCTACTTGGGAGGCTGAGGCAGGAGGATCACTTGAGCCCAGGAATTTCAGATTGCATTGAGCTATGATGACACCACTGTACCCTACGCAGGGCAACAGAGCAACACTCTGTCTCAAAAAAAAAAACCGTCCCCTCCAGCCTCCTCACATTCAGCTGACCAGCTGGCATGATTCCACATCAAGACCCTTGCTGCCTGGAACACTCTTTCCCCTGATAGCCACTTGGCCAACCCTTTCATCTCCTGTAAGTCTTTACTCCAACATCACTTTCGGCTGGGTGCGGTGGCTCACGCCTGTAATCCTAACACTCTGGGAGGCTGAGGCGGGAGGGTCGTCTGAGCTCAGGAGTTCGAGACTATCCTGAGCAAGAGTGAGACCTGGTTTCTACTAAAAATAGAAAGAAATTGGCTGAACAACTAAAACTATATAGAAAAAATTAGCCGGGCATGGTGGTGCATGCCTGTAGTCCCAGCCACTCGGGAGGCTGAGACAGAAGGATTGCTTGAGCCCAGGAGTTTGAGGTTGCTGTGAGCTAGGTTGACACCACGGCACTCTAGCCCAGGTGACAGAGCGAGACTCGTCTCCAAAAAAAAAAAAAAAGTCACTTTCTCATGGAGGCCTTCCCTATTTAATTTTGCAACCTGCCCCTCCACCCAGCACCTCCCATCCCCTTTCCCTGCTCTATTTTTTTTTTCCACAGCCATATCACCTTCTCACATACCATACACTTTCCTTATTTATTATGTTTCTTTTTTGCCACCCCCTGCTGGAATATAAGCTCTAGGAGGGCAGGATCATTGTCTGTTTTGTTCACTGCTATATCCCCACACCTAGAACAACATCTGGCACATAATAGATGCTCAATAAACATTTGTTGAATGAATGAGTCCAATTTTTAAAAAACAATTTGGAGGGGAAGACAAAACAAAAATAAACAAATAAAAACAAAAATACAAAAAGAGAAAATCTTGCAAGTTGGATGTGGCCAGTAGGCTGTCAGCGTGTGATTCCTGTTAGCTCCATGTGAGTTTACATACATGACAACTAGGCCGCACATGTTTTCTGAGAAGTGCCTTAGGGGAAGAGTTATGGGAGATCAGAGGAAGGCCACAATGCTTAATGAGAGAGGAGAGATCAGGGGCAGCTTCCCAGAGGAAGTGATCTTCAGAGAACCGGTATGGGTTGCCAGGAGGGAAATCAAGGTTGGGTGAGAGAGGAAAGGCATTCCTGGAAGGAGGTACTGCAGGATCACTTGAGCCCAGGAATTTCAGATTGCATTGAGCTATGATGACACCACTGTACTCTACCCAGGGCAACAGAGCAACACTCTGTCTCAAAAAAAAAAACCCTCCCCTCCAGCCTCCTCACACTCAGCAAATGTTGGAGGTAGAACCACACATGGTATTGCATGGAATGGTGGCCAGTTCTGCATGCCAAGGGCACCCCAGGGTGGACACAATGAGGATACAGCTGAGGCCAGGCTACAAAATGCCTTGAAGGCCAGGCCTGGAAGCTGGGCTTCTTTAGAGGATGCAAGGGAGTTTTAGCAGGGAGAACAGGGTCAGAGTTAGACTGGGTGGGGGGAGGTTGGGGAGGAAGCTACCGCAGCCATCCTGGCCCTGAGGGCTGACCACATTCTCTCCCAGTTTGAGGGATATCGAGAGGGTGGGTACCTGCCACTCCGGAAGAGGAAGGTCATGACCAGTGCATGAGGGGCCCGGATTTTGGCTCCATAGCTGTAGAAACAGAAGACCACAGTTATTACAGCATCACTGTATCACGGTATCCTGGGCCCTCCCTCTGACTCCGTGTCCCCTCTTCCCATCCCAATTCTAACAATTCTCTGGGAGGGGAAATAATGCCAGCTTTCAAGTTAGATCTGGATTCGAATCTCAGCTCTGACACTTCCTGGTAGTGTGGTCTTGGGCTTATCATTTAACTTCTCCAAACCTCAGTTTCCCCAACTGTAAACAGGGATGTTAAATCTCAAAGGGCTGGTTATCATTTTCAAGGAAGGAGACAGTGTATGTAAAAGGTCTCCACCAACCTGTTCAACCGGCTTCGTGGAGTTGCCCTCTCAGTTCCATCCCCAGGTTCCCACAGCAGCCAGTTTCATCTTTTAAAAACGTAAATCTCATCACATTGCTCCCAGCTTAAAAGCCTCCAACACCTTTCCTCTATTCATAGAACAGAGCTCAGGCTCCTCCCTACAGCCTTGACCATGCAGCAGGCCACAGCCCCTCCTCCCCGCGCTCCTACCTGGCCCCAGGCCCCTCTTCTCCAGCTGCAGACACAGTGGCCTTCCTGGAGTGCCTCTGACAAATCGGTCATCTCTGCCCCCGGCCTTTGTCCAGGCTGCTCCCTACACCTGGAGTGTCCTCTCTTGTGCCCGCCCAGCTACTTTTCCTCAGCCACCCTCAGCAGGGCCCTCTGCAAAGGCTTCCTGACACTCCAGCCTAGGTTTGGGCGACATTCTCATTGACACAGATCCCCAAACTTCTCTGCAGCACTTTACACTCCCAATTTAATGACTCAATTATTCCTAATTATTATTATTATTCCTATTTATTCTATTATACTCATCTCTTTCCTGTACTAGACTGTGGGCTCTGTGAGGGCAGGGAATGTATCTGGCTTTTCTGTAGAGTCACCAGTACCCCGCATGGTACCTGACATGTAGTATGTGCTCAATAAATGATTGCTGACTGACTGATTCTAGAACAGCCCTAACTACCTGTGAGGGAATGTAATTTCTAGAAGGTTCTATCTTCAGCTTGGTCCATCTTAAAGTTAACAAATTTCCTCAGTTGTTCAGTAACACTGTACTTCCTTCCACCTATTCAAAATGTACCTCTTTTCGACTGTTATACACAGGAGGACCTTGACTTGTAAAAACACATTTAAAAAAAAGACTGGGCCGGGCGTAGTGGCTCACGCCTGTAATCCTAGCACTCCAGGAGGCTGAGGCGGGAGGATTGTTTGAGCTCAGGAGTTCGAGACCAGCCTGAGCAAGAGCAAGACCCCGTCTCTACTAAAAATAGAAATAAATTAGCTGGACAACTAAAAATATATAGAAAAAATTAGCAGGGCATGGTGGTGCATGTCTGTAGTCCCAGCTACTCAGGAGGCTGAGGCAGGAGGATCGCTTAAGCCTAGGAGTTTGAGGTTGCTGTGAGCTAGGCTGCACTCTAGCCTGGGCAACAGAGTGAGATTCTTGTCGCAAAAAACAAAAAAAGACTGAAAAGAAATATGCCACGTTGTTATTAGCAATGTCCCCTGGGCTAGAGAAATATAGGAATTTATTTTTGTTTGCTTTTTTAACTTTTCTATACTTCCAAAATGATATATAATGATTAAGCATTGCTTTTAAAATTATTAAACATTTCAAATATTACATAATGGCTTCATTTTAAGATTCAAACCTCTTCCCCCTGACCCTCCTTTCACCTACTCATTTGAGCATCTGGGGATTATGTGAACAAGACCACATTCACCTTCATTGTTTTAACTCAATAGGTTAAATGAGTTACCCATATACTAAAATGGGTAGTAAAAGAAAATGGTACTTGGTGCCAAAGCCCTGCCATGTTTTGCTGTGTGAACGAGGATAAATCACTTACCCTTTCTGAGACTCGCTTCTCCCATCAATAAAAGGTATTCTTCATTTCACAGAGTTACTTCTGGCAGTTAAGAATGTAGCACATGTAAAAGTTCCTACCTCAATCAATATTACTGTCTCTTCTTCTTCTTCTTTATTGGACACCCCCTACCCCATCTCTGAGTTCTCCAAGCACCCAACCCTGGTCTTACCAGGTTACAAGGTCTAAAAATCCTTGACAGCCTCCTTGACGCAAGGTCATGAGCCATACACTGTTGTCACCTGAATATATGTGAATGTCCACTGCAGGCTTGTTTGAAACAAAAAAAAGACTGGAATCAAACCCATGTCCATCCACAGACTGAGAAATAAATAATGGCTCCACCATTCAGTGGGATACTACATAGCTATAAAAGAATGAGGTGGCTTTATGCGCACTGATAGGGAGCATGTGCAGGATTTATTAGAGCAAATATACAGCAGTGTGTGCAGCATAGCAATAATTGTATAAAATGAAATTCTTCTATAAATCTAAAATTATTTCAGAACAGCAATTTTTAAAAAGAGTATGTGGAGAGAATACATGTATGTGTTTGTATATGCACATAATATTTCTAGAGAAAGATATAAGAGACTAGACACAGGGGTTGCCCCCAGGGAGGGGGACTGGGTGACAGAGGGTGGAGTGGGCAGAACATTTTAGCACCTAACTTTTTATGCCTTTGTACATGTGTTACCTAATTAAAAAAAATAAAATTAAAGAAATTAAAAATGTTAACAATTTAAAGCTGGTGTTACTATTGTGGAGGTGGTGCTCAATCACTTACCTTCTCTCCTGCCTAGCAGTGGGCAGGAGGGCCAAGCGGGCTCCTGCCTCAGCCTCCTGAGTAGCTGGGACTACAGGCACGTGCCATCACGCCCAGCTAATTTTTCTATTTTTTGTAGAGATGGGGTCTTGCTCTTGCTCAGGCTGGTCTCAAACTCCTGGCCTCAAGCAATCCTCCTGCCTCAGCCTCCCAGAGTGTTAGGATTACAGGTGTGAGCTACTGTGCCCGACCAAAATGTTAACAATTTAAAGCTGGTGTTACTATTGTGGAGGTGGTGCTCAATCACTTACCTTCTCTCCTGCCTAGCAGTGGGCAGGAGGGCCAAGACCCCCATCCCAGCCCCAGAGAGCTCTCTTCCCTCAGTACCCTACAAAGACACATCTCGTTCTCCTGAACAAAGAGACCCTCAGCTTCCTCTAGTTGGTCAGGGCTGAAGGGTCCTTCCTTGCACTCCAGACATAAGCAGAATAGTGCCCCCAACTCCCTACATCTGCCAAGCCCTTTCCCGAAGTCTTCAAACTCAGATGGGAGCTGGTTACTCTCCTGTTTGTAGGATCACTCCTGAAAAAAGGGATGCCCTAGATTAAAAAGGACTTAAAGGATATAACGACAAGTGCAATGTGATGTCCTATGGAGCATCTTGGACAGGACAAACTAGCTGCAGAGGACATCTGTGGGACAACTGGGACAATTTGGTTTTTTTTTTTTTTTTGGGATAGGGTCTCACTCTGTCAGCTGGGCTAGAGTGCAGTGGTGTCATCACAGCTCACAGCAACCTGAAACTCCTGGGCTCAAGAGATCCTCCTGCCTCAGCCTTGCAAAGTGCTAGGATTACAGGTGTGAGCCATCACGCCTGGCCAATTTGACTGCTGACTGGATAATAATATTATAGAATTATTATTAACTTATTAAATGCAATTGTGAAAATTTAGCCATATAGGAAAATATTCTTAGTTTTAGAGATGCACATTGAAAAATATTTAGGGGTGGAACATCAAAGCAAGTTAAAATTTTAAAAAGTTCAAACATCTCAGACATCTAAGTCAGCCTCCCTAAACAAATGGGCTCTCTTCACAAACAGCATATTTTTTCCACCTCCAGGCCTTTGTTCAAGCCATTCCTTCTGCCTGGGCAGCCCTTCTCTCCCTGACAAATTCCACCTCTGCCTTCAAAATATCACCATCACCTCCTCTGTAAAGCATTCTTGATCACCTGTTACTGCCATGGTAGTTTAATCATCAGACTTTGAGTCTTTGGACTAAGTCCTTACATGTAGGCCCAGCATCTTAGCACTAACCAGAACGGGATCATTACCTCAGAGCACCCCTGCATGGGTGAGTTTATTGTTTCCATTTCACAGAGGAGGAGACTGAGGTCAGAAAAGGGTTGCTCAGCTTTTAAGATGAAGAAACTGGGATTACAGCCTAAGGGTCTAACCTCGAAAAGTACCTGATCTCAGCCGGGCGCGGTGGCTCACGCCTGTAATCCTAGCACTCTGGGAGGCCGAGGCGGGTGGATCACTCAAGGTCAGGAGTTCAGGACCAGCCTGAGCAAGAGCGATACCCCGTCTCTACTAAAAATAGAAAGAAATTATTTGGACGACTAAAAAAAATCTATATAGAAAAAATTAGCCCGGCATGGTGGCGCATGTCTGTAGTCCTAGCTACTCGGGAGGCTGAGGCAGTAGGATCACTTGAGCCCAGGAGTTTGAGGTTGTTGCGAGCTAGGCTGACGCCACGTCACTCTACTCTGGGCAACAGAGTGAGACTCTGTCTCAAAAAAAAAAAAAAAAAAGTACCTAATCTCGCTGGGAAGGTCCTCTGAGGTCACACACAGGAAGAGCTGGAGTGGGGGCAGGTAAGAAGTCAGCATTGGGCAATGTCTGCTGGCACCAGGGCCTGTGGGATTCCTATTCATTCCTGCTTTGCCCTGTAATAGCTTGGCAAAGGAGCCACTAACATTATCTCAGGGTCCATCTCACCTTAGTCATGCCAATGAGTGGCTGATATAATATGGCCAGACCCAGTGGGAACCAGTTTCTACCTGACTCTGAGTACACATGGAAGCCAAGAGTCTGGCACTGGGATTGGGCATCCCTGGGTTTGAATCCTGGCTCCAACCCTGACCTAGTTATGTGACTGTGGGCAAGGGGTTCACTTCTGAGCCACAGCCTTTTCATCTAGAAAATGGAGACAATGGCAATTCCTACTTTGCCCACATTCATTGATTCATTCAATAAATATTTGAGCATCTATTATGTACCAGGTGCTAGGAATACACCAAGGAACAAAATATATAAAAATTTCTGTCCTCAGCAGGGCACAGTGGCTCACGCCTGTAGTCCTAGCACTCTAGGAGGCCGAGGCGGGAGGATCGTTTGAGCTCAGGAGTTCAAGACCAGCCTGAGCAAGAGCGAGACCCTGTCTCTACTAAAAAAATAGAAATTAGCTGGACAACTAAAAATATACAGAAAAAATTAGCTGGGCATGGTGGTGCATGCCCGTAGTCCCAGCTATTCGGGAGGCTGAGGCAGGAGGATCCCCTGAGCCCAGGAGTTGGAGGATGCAGTGAGTTATGATCATGCCACTGCACTCCAGCCTGGGAGACGGAGTGAGATTCCATCTCCAAAAAAAAAAAAACAAGATACAGAAGTGAACTACTTAGTGCCAGATGGTGACAAGTACTATAGAGAAAAATAAAGAAGGAGGTGGGGAGTTCAGGGATGGCCTCAATGAGGAGGTGACACTTAAAAAGAGGTCTGAAAAAGGTGAGGGAGTAAAATAGGCAGGCATCCATGTGAATATAACAATAGTAACAACAGCCAACAGTTTTTTATATATACATAAAAAACTACATCTATATAGATAGATAGATAGATCAAGTGCTGTGCTGTGCATTTCACAGGTATTTACTCAATCCTGATTGTGTAAGTGCCATTACCATGCCCATTTCATAGAAATTGAGGCTTAGAGAAACTAATGACTTGCTCAAGACCACATAGGTAAGTGGGACCAGGGTTCAACATGAGGATGAGGCAGTCTACATCCTCACCACTATGACATGTTGCCACTAGAATGCCAACTCCAGGGGGACACAGGCCTTTGTTTGTTCTCTGCTTTGTCCCCAGTTTTAGCACAGCAGGCCCCCAATAAATGATGGCTGTTATACATGGGGTTTAAATTAGGAGGCCAACCTCCCCTCTCTAGGCAAAAGCCAGGAGAAATGACCCTAAGACCTCCTCTCCTGCAGGTATGATGGCCAGAATAGTGGCAGCGTCTTTTACATTCATTGCCACGCCCCAGGAGCCCCCTGTGCCAAATAAGGACTTGGCACTGGAGTCCTGCAGATGAGGAGTGAAAAGCAGGATGCGAGTCCACGGGCCGCTTAATTGGGGGAGCATAGGCAAAAAGCATCCACCTGCCTGGTTAAGGTCAGAGCCCAGTTTCCCATTGTGCAGATGGGGCCACTGAGGCCAGACAGGCCCGAGGGCATACAGCGAGGCGGAGTGAACTGGACCCAAATGAAGGGAAACAGGGGCTGCCATGGAAGCGGTCAAAGCAAAAAGGCCAAGTTGCAAAGCACGGAGGTCTCTGAAACTGCAGTGGGAGCCCGGGATCAGAGCTGGGAAGGCGCTCGGAACCCAAAATTCAGCTCCCCTTGCAGAGATGGTGGACGCTGAAACCTAGAAACACAAGAGGGTTGCTCCAAAGCACACAGCACCGTGGCGCCAGGCCTCGAATCCTCGCCTCCGACCCCAGCCAGTACGGTCCCTGAGCCCCAGCCCGGCCCGACGGCCCCACTCACACGGCCCCGTTCCGAAAGCCCTTAACCATGGCCAATGCAGCGTGGTAGCGACGCTTGCGCAGCAGTGCGTTGACGGCCAGGAGCAGGGCCCGCACCTTCGGCGGGGCGGCCATAGAGCGAGAGGCGCGCGGAGCTGAGGTATAGAGCTGGAAGCGAACTGACAATCCCGAATTCCAGCCTTACTGCCTTCGGCGCCTAGGCCGCGCCGCCACGTCGTGGCGCCCATATGCTGGGTCTGCTGTCACTCATACAGAGAGAGCCAATCACGAGCGCTTTCGTCTCAGAAGGAGAAAGGGACGAGCGCACTCTTCGGAATAGATGTCTGATTGGAAGAGAAAGGAGAGCTTGTAACCAATGACAGTGGGCTCTGCCTGACTCACCCTCAGGAAGGTCATACGCCCAGATTTGTCCAATCAGAAGACATTTCCCTTTGGAACGCGTTCGGTTCACGCGTGGGCTTGAAATGAGCTGGGTGCTTAGCGGGAGGTTTCCTGGAAGAGGGACCGCCCTCCTTAGAGTTGGGGTGAGTGAACAAGGCGTCATCTTTACACATGACAGTTCTGAGTAGGTGTTACAGCGATCTTCCCAGAGTGTAAAATCACAATACGTTGCATTTATGAAATCCAAACTCCTCCCCAAGGCCCACAAGAGAAGATCTGTGATCTGGCCTTCCCTCTCTAACCCCACAGTCTATCACTTGTCGCCTCACTCCTCTCCAGCCAAACTGGCCTCCTTCCTGTTCCTTGAGCATGCCAAGAACCCTTCTATTGTAGGGCCTTCGCACTTGCTGTTTTCCTGCCTGGTATGCATCACCCTCAGCTGTTTCCATGGCTGGCTTCTCAACCTTCAGGTTTCAGTTCAAATGCCACCTCATCACAAAGGCCTTCCTAGATGTCCATCCACTCTGATTCATTAACCTGTTTTTTTTTTCCTTCATGGAACTTTTCATACTTTGAAATTGTTTGTTTGCAACATGTTCATTGTCCATTTCCCTCTTGTTTTCTGCTGTAATCCCAGTACTTGGCACGTGGTGGGTCCCCAACACATGCTTGTTGAAGCAATACACAATTTTGGCTTGCCATCTCCCAGAGCATTGATATGTGACATTTACATAAGACATCACTGTATGGAGTTGTCACTGGATAATAGCTACACATTGAGTCGTGGCTGTGACTTGTAAGGGTGTCCCCTGGTACTTGGGCCACATGGTATTTACCTGTGATATTATTTCCTCCTGTGAGAGAAAGAACAATTTCAGAAATCAGTGAAGGACATAGGTGTGCTGGACCTATTTTATCACTGAAACTATATTTTCTGGGGTTTTTCTTTTGGAACAGTGGACTATTAATAGTTTATTCAGTTAATCCTTCCTCTGAAAGTAGTGACTATGTTAGATCATAAATAAAAATATCCTCTTAAAAACGCTGAAGTGCTTTAAAGTATGAGGAATGCCCAGATCAATTACTGAGTGAAAGGCAGCAACCAGATAGTTAGCAGGAGGATTGGAATGTTGAAGAACCAAAGCCACTTATGACTCGAGGGCATTTGTCAGTATTGAACCTGTGAGTTTCAGTTTGTCAACCACGAAAGGAAAGAGGGTCAAAAGTGAAAGTCCAGGGCTTGCCCGAAGTGAGGAGTCTTACAGGAGAACCTCCTCACATTAAGCTGAGATTCCAAAGAGTTTCGCCCAAGTCTAATGTGATATGAACCTGCTGTACAGTCCACACCACTAGCCCTAAGGAGCTGCAGAAAAAGTTGCCTTGGTGCGAGCAGAACAGTTGAAGGTAAATGAAATGGGAATTTTTTTAAAAGCTCTTCCTTGGGAAGTTGTGACCACTGACGAGTCCTTTTGCAACCCAGGGATTAGAGCCTGGTAGATCAAAAAAATCTCAAGCTAGGAACCAGGAACCTAGTTTGAGGTGATAACTAACTGGAAGCACCCCTAAACCCTCTACAAAAAGCAAATACAAAGCCTCTCTGGAGAAGGGCACATCCATCTTTGGCTTCAAGAATCCACTACGAATAATTTTTCTAGGGTGATGACCAGCACATAATCAGAGGTAACCAGACCCCGAAGACAACATGAAGAACAATCAACAGATCAACACAGATTTCAAGTATTATAATTCACAGACACAAGTTTTTTTTTTTAGATGTTTACAGAAAATTTAAAGCTGCAAAATAGCCACTGGGAACAGAAAACTAATTTTTTTAGTGGCAAATTTGAAAAGGAACCAAACAGAATCTTCTAGAAATATCGCCTACTACTCCCATGAAAAATCAGTCACTAAGCCCTGACACGTGGCCCAGAATCAAGAGAGGGTGTTTGGAAACTCGTTAGTTTCACAAGTTCTTCCTGGGCACTCTGTTTTGCTAAGTCCTTTTTCACATAGATAAAGTTTCTGCCCTCAAGGAACCTCCCAGCCTGCTAAGGATAGAGTTGCCATAATGGGAACACTTATTGTCTGGTGGCCCATTTTGATTTTGTCACTCTGAGTTCCTTAGGACAGGGCCTGTTTGTTCACATTTGCTCAGAGAAATAAAATTTATATAATGAGTACTTTCTGTGTTCCGGGGATTGTTTCCTGAATGCTTTATTAACCATTTCATTCTCACAGCATCCCTGGTAGGTAGGTACTATAACCATGACCACTTAACCTATGGGAAACTGAGGCACAGAAAAGCAAAGTAACATGCCCAAGATGATGTAGCTAGTAAATTGTGGAGCCAGGATTTGAATCCAGACCACCTGGCTCCAGAGTCTCTGATCTTAGCCACTGTATTAGTTTGCTAGGGCTGCCATAACAAAATACCATAGCCTGGGTAGCTTAGCAGCAGAAATTTAATTTCTCACAATTCTGGAGGCTAGAAGTCCAAGAGCAAGGTCTCAGCAAGTTTGATTTCTCCTGAGGTCTCTCTCCTTGGCTTGCAGATGGCTGCCTTCTCACCATGTCCTCACATGGTCACCCCATCTATGTGTGTGTCCTAATTTCATCTTCTTACAAGGGCATCAGTCACATTAGATTAGGGCCCACCTATATGACCTCATTTAACCTTAATTACCTTTTTAAAGACCCTATCTCCATAGTCCCATTCTGAGGTACTGGGGGCTAGGCATTGACATATGAATTTGGGTGGGGGACACAATTCAGTCCATAACAGCCACCATGCTTGCTGCCTCCTACTGATACCAATAAACCTAACAAGAAGTCAGGACCTGGCATTGCTTTGTGTCCGTACTTTCTTCCCCTCATAGCTGGCAGTCTGGTTTAAGCTGCTTATGACTCTCCCCTCCCTATAGAGAAGTTACTTTTCTGGGGTGGCTGGAACCCTCATTGTGAAGTGAGACATTTGAAATTTCCCAAACATTCCCTCTTCCCTACTTGGCTCCATGCCTGGAATTACTACATTACTTAACCCAGGAATCTCTAAGCTGTGCTTGGATTCTGTTCAGTGCCAACCAGTGGACCTGAGGGAATGGGACATGGGACTGATAAGTTTTTGGTGGAGGAAGAAATGGCAGTAAGGAGTGGAAAGTTTGTAATGGGGGTAGCCTGCCTGGGGAGCCTGCTGGCAGTGGGGCTCTCCCTTCCTGAATCTCATTCAGTTGTCACATATGTCAAGCCTTCAGTCAAGCATTTCCCGGGTTGCCTCTGTGCCAAGCCCTGAGGTCCAACCTGAATGGATGCAGTGCCTCCCCTGTTTAGGGGGCTCCCTCTTAAGGGGGTGGAGAAAAAGGGAACTGCCTATAGCCAGAGATTATCACATGATAGGAGTTGTACCAGGTACTGTGAGAACCTAGAATGGCAAGGGAGGGAGAGAGTTCACCCCTGAGGATCTGAAAAGCTTCTCAGAGGAGGCCAGAAGCCAAGCTCCTACTGTTGCAATGAGGGATGGCATTTCAGAAAGAGAACAGCACATGTGCAAAGGCCTGCAGAGCAGATAAAAATCTATGTGCACAACGTGTACCTGGATGTGTAGAAACACATGGAAAGCTGTCAACGCTTGCTTTGCCTTGTGTTGGTGGAATCTTTTCTGTCATGTATCTGCAGTCACCCTCAGAATAAAACCTAAACCCTAATTGTGGCTCTGGTCATCTCTTCATCCTCATCCCCCTCTACCCATACCTCACTTAGTACCCTCAGCTGCCCCTTCACAATTCTTGGCCTCCTTTCATTTTGGCCTCAGGGTCTTTGCACTTGCTGGTCCCTCTGCCTTCTATTCCATTTTCACTAAGCTGACTCCATCTCATTTCTCAGGTCCACCTCCTCAGAGAGGCCCTTCCTGACCGTTCTGTCTAAAGTACCTTTATCTCCTCCCAGAAGAAAATATTTAAAGTCACAGAACATTTCTCTTTTTTTTTTTGAGACAGATCTTGCTCTCTTGCCCAAGCTAGAGTGCCATGGCGTCAGCTCAGCTCACAGAAACATCAATCTCCTGGGCTCAAACTATCCTCCTGCCTCAGCCTCCCTAGTAGCTGGGACCACAGGTGTATGCCACCATGCCCGGCTAATTTTTTCTATTTTTAGTAGAGAACAGGTCTCACTCTTGCTCAGGCTGGTCTTGAACTCCTGAGCTCAAGTGATCCTCCCGCCTCGGCCTCCCAGAGTGTAAGGATTACAGGCTTGAGCCACCACTCCCAGCCCAGAATCCGCCTTACTCCTGATATTTCCTCTTAGTAATTTTCCATCCATTGAGTTCCACTCTGCTCCTTGGCTCTAAATTCCCTCTTGCCCAAGCTGTGTTCAGAGTTGAGCCCAATCTCTCCCCTCCACTGCGAGACCCCATCACAGTGATCCCTTCCGCAGCTCGATGGTCCTGGATAAAGTCTTCCTTACTGCAGTTTCGCAAGGATCATTGAATTTTTTCTTTAACAATGGCACCTCTCTGGTTCCCCCCTCCCCTCAGGCGCTCTCCCAACTCTGCCTTGTTGCCAAAGAGTACTTCCTGGAAACCACTATCATAGGTTGTAATTAAATAACTTTTAAGATTTAACGTCTGTCTTTTTCCCTCACTCCTCTCTGGGAAAAGACCACGTAGTTCCAGAGCTATCACAGCCATGCACAGCAGGCCCTCAATAAGCAGCCCGCGGAGCATGAATGAAGACGAGACAGCGGTCAGTGTTTGACCGGGGGTCCGAATGATGGGCGCCTCTCTCATCCTGTGAGACCTAGATGGGGTCCCTAAGAGGCTGGGCTGGGAGTGGCTGAGGCGGGCATTGGGGGTTTATGTGACAGAAATGGGGTCTCCAGAGGCAGGGATCGGAAGTCCTCAGCAGGTGGAAATGAGGGGTTATGTAACAGTCTTGGGGGAATCTCTGGGAGATGACGGGGAGTAAGCCCAGGCAGAGAAGGGAGTCACATGAGGACAGGTGGCCCCCAACAGGCAGAGATGAGGGTCGCTGTGGGAGGGGGAATGGGAAGTCTATGACAAAGGATGGGAATCTGTGTCGCACAGTTGGAGGAGGTCCTTGTGACAGAGTTGGGTGGTCTGGGGGAGGTGGCAACAGGGCTGTTGTTGCAAAGTTGAGGTATACCGTGCGCGGTGGAGATCGGGTCCGTGTTGCAGAGCTGGGGGACACGTGCAGTGGGAATGCGGGAGTGTGTCAGAGTTGGCGGATCTAGTCCGGTGAGGTGGGGACGGGAGTTCAGATAATAGGGCTGAGAGGTCCCATGTGTGGCGCATATAGGGGTACTGACGTAGAGTTGGACGTTCAAGTGAGGAGGGCATAGGGGTCCACATGCGCCGGTGACTGGGTCATCGAGGCGGGGCCGGGGAGCCTATGGATGCTGGGGTTCCCGAGCGAGAGGCTTGGCGGCGGCTCCCGGGCGCCCCCTGGCGGCCCCGCGCCGCCGCGGCTCCCACAATGCTCGCGTTGCCCCGCTTCGGCTCCCGCGGCGGCGGTTCCAAGATGGCGCAGGCGATCTTTGAGGCCCTGGAGGGTGAGCGGCGGCGGGGCCGGGGGAGGCGGCTGTTCCGCGCTGCGCCCCCTCCCGCCGCGCCCTCGCTGCGCCCGGCTTAGGGCGCGCGGCGGCCGCGGGGCGGAGGGCGCCGGGGCCGGAACAGCCTGTGGGCGGGAGGGGCGCGGGCAGGAACAGCCGCTGGAGCCGCGGCCTGGCGGGGGAGGGGGGAGACGGGACCGGAACAGCCGCGAGAGTCCAGGCCCGGGGGGGGGGGGGGCACCGGGCCCGGAACAGCCGGGCAGAGCCGGCCTGGCGGGGAGGGGGTCGCGGGACCGGAACAGCTGCACCCTGCAGGGCCTCGGGCCGGCGCGGGAGGGGCTTCCCGGAGGGAACAGCCGGGGACCCGGGCCGGCCAGGCCTGGAACTGCCGCGGCGAGGGAGGCGGCTCCGCGGACGCGGGGCTGGCAGGGCTGCGCTGAGGGGTCGGGTGGTGCGGGAGCAGCTGCAGGGTGGGAGGGCCTTGGCGGCCTGACCACGAAGAACTTCTGCTGAGCCATCTGTGTGCCTCCTGCTGGAATGTAGTCTCTTAAATTCGGACCAGGAGAGGAGAGGGGCCACCTGTATGCAAGGCCGGAACTCGGAGCTTACAGACCCAAACTAGCAAACACTGGGTGCCTGCCCTGTGCACCATGCTGGGTGCAGTTTTACAAACTCAGGCCGAGAAACGATGGGTGCTGGCCGTGTACCTGCCCGGGACGTGGTGCTCCCAGACCCAAGCCCGCAAACATTGGCTGCCAGCTGACTGTCCTGTGGTCTGCCTCGGATGGGAGTGGTCCTAAGGCTCAGAGAATTGTGGGCTTTGGAGACAGCAAACACTGAGCGCCTCCATGTGCACCTGCTGAGCGTCAGGGTGGAAAGGACAGCCTTAGTCACTCGGAGCCATGGTGCAGAGTAGTCACTGTGGGAGGTATAGACCAATAATGTTTTGGGAGGGTGGGATGAGATGCTTATACAGACAGGATGCAAACTGGAAGTACTGGCAGTGTGAGGCTGAGGCTTTGAGTCCTGCAACTCCTGAGATCTCAGCCACTTCCCTTCACTTCTTGGAGGATCGGAGTTTCCACCAGGAAATGGATAACCCCCCATCTAGAGTGGTTCAGTTTCAGGAATACTCATTGAATCAGGCACAGTCCCTGCCCCCACAATTTGGTGAGGGAGAGAAATTATAGATCAAGCAATTATTAGAAATTATGGAATTATAAACCAGGGGGGGAAGAGGGAGGAGGGGAGGGGCAAAAACTTACCTAATGGGTACAATGAACACTATTTGGGTGACGGCCACCTCTATGGCTGGGACTCAAACATTACAAAAGAGATCCATGTAACCTAAAACATTTGTACCCCCTTACTATTTTGAAATTAAAAAGAGAAATTACGGAATTAGAGAAAAGGTAAAAGGTGGCCTCCTCTCTTACCTCCCCACTGCTCCTCTGGCCCCCTTCAGTCTGTTCCCAGAGCAGCCTGTGTGAACCTTATAAAACATACATCAGACTGTGCTGCTCCTTTGCTGAAAACCTTTTCTTAGCTCCACACTGATCCCAAAATAAAGTTCAGCAGCTTCATCAAATCCATGGAGGCCTCATCTCTAGCTGCTCACCCACACTGAACTGTGGATCCTAGGAGACCTCTCTCCCCCTAGGGCTATGCAAATGCAGCTTCCACTGCCTGGGTCATTCCAATGACCCTTGATGACCCTCTTCCCTGGATCTCTGCAGTCCTGTTGCCCTTTCCCCTGGCCTCCCACATCTACCACCCCCTTTTTATTTTCCTCACAGCAGGAAGGCCAGCTGAGGTTGTTCAGCAGAGAACTGATGGTGGCCTGGGCCAGGGGACAGCTGTGGGGATGGAGAGAAAGTGGCTTTGAGACATTTGGGAGGAAGAATAGGCTAGGCTTGCCACTAGAAATGGGGAGTGGGGAAGGAGGAGCAGTGGGTTGAGGGAAGAATCAATGGGTAGCCCAGGGGCTGTGGCTTATGGACGTGTTTTCATCGATGAGGAGTACTAGAAGAGGGACAAACTTAGGGGTGGGGAATGACACATTTGAGTTTAGTTTTAGACAGGCTGCATTTTTAAAGATTAAGCTTTTTATGTTTTAATTTAGTTTATTTATTTTTTTGAGACAGACTGTTGCCCAGACTGGAATGCAGTGGCTTGATCATAGTTCATTGCAACCTGAAACTCCTGGGCTCAAGCTATCTTCCTACGTTAGCCTCCTGAGTAGCTGGGATTATAGGTGTGTGCCACAAGTCTGGCTCAAGCGATCCTCCTGCCTCAGTCTCTCAAAGTAATGGGACTACAGGTGTGAGCCATCGTGGCTGCCAAATTTTTATTTTGAAATCATTTTATCCCTGTAGATTCGCATGCAGTTGTAAGAAATAATAGAGTGATCCCATGTATCCTTTACCCAGATTCCCCCAGTGGTACCATTTTGCAAAACTATAGTGTATCACCTGCCAGTCAACCTGCAGAACAGTTCCATCACTACAAGGTGTTGCCCCTTCATAGCCACACCCAAAATTTCTCCCCTTCTCCCGCCATCCCTGGTGCCTGGCAACCACTGATCTGTCTCCCTTTCTAAAATTTTGTCATTTCAAGAATGTTATATAAGTGGACTCATGTAATATACAACCTTTAAGATGGGCTTGTTTCACCTGTCATAATTTCCTAGAGATTCATCCAAGTTGTGTGTATCAACAGTTTGTTCCTTTTTATTGCTTAGTAGTATTCCATGGTGTGGATATTCCACAGTTTAACCAATCACCCATTGAAGAATATCTGAACTGTTATAAATAAAAATGCTATGAACATTCATGTACAGATTTGTACCCAAATGCTTAAACACTTGCAAATTTGCATAAAATGGTAGAAGATTTATTGACACTTGTTCAGGGGAGCATGAACCCCAGATTTGCAACTCCAGATATTGGGGGGAACTAGACTGGGGGTGAATGAGACAGCAGAGGGACAGTGTAAGAGGGAGAGGGGAGAGAGTCCAGACAGAAGGAACTCCTCTACGTAGGAACACTTAGGTGTGGACAGAAGAGAGCAAAGGAGGCTGGAAGGAGGCACCAGAAAGGTAGAAGACCCAGGGAGGGTGGTGTCCTGGAACCAGGAACAGAGTGTTTCAAGGACTGTCAGGTGCTGCCAGATGGGCTTTGGTGACCGTGGGAAAGGTGTTTTGGGTGGAATAGTGGAAAATTAAGCCCCACTAGAGTGAGAGGAAAGGACTGGAAGGTGGGCAGAGGAGATAGAGGGTGTCAACGACCTTCGTTGGATACGTGACATTGAAGGGAGGAAAGATGGCAGCATGACTTCCAAGATTCTGGAGAGACTGGATGGGAAGGAGAGGGTACATGCACAGTGTGGGGAGAGGGGTTGACTGGGGAGAGTGGTTCCTGAGGAAGCAGGAGAGGTTGGAGGGAAGGGCTGGCCTCAGGAGGGACCATTGTTCCTGCTTTGTGACAGGGAAGTATGGATTCAGTTTGGCTGCAGGAGCTAATGGTTTTAGTTTGCATTGCAGTTAGAAGCTGAGGCAGGCATCCAGGAAAGAGCTGAGAGGTTGGAGGCAGAGCACTGGTTATGGGGACACAGAGAGGAGGCACCCTCTGGGTTATTTGGGAGGGAGGCAATGTGCCTTGGTGGCCACTTAGATGTGAGGAGGCCTGTTGTCCATCTAGTGATTCAGCTGGACAGTGAACTACTGTGAACCTCAACAGTGACAACTGATTAGGAAACCTGGAAGAGGTCACCGTATCAGGCCCCCAACCATAAATTCAGGTTATATTGTTCGTTGAGGAACAGAAAAGACAAGCACACATTGGAAAATAAGGAAGGCAAGAACGGCTGAGTGCAAACAGATCTGTAGGGTTTGTGGTGTGTGGATGAGGAAGACAGGGTAACATGATTTCCTGAGGGGCTGCATCACTTAGGATTAGCGTCAGCCGTGAGTAAGAGAGGAGCCCAAGCTAGCAGTGGCTTAGACTGGCTGGAAGGTTATTTCTTTCATATGAAAGTCCAGTGGAAGGCAGTCTAGGATATGAGGTGGCTGTGTTCTACAAGGTCCTCAGAGGCCCAGGATCTTTGCAGCATTTTTTCCTGCAATCCCTAGGGTTTGTGCCAATGGTCCAGGATGGTGGGCAGAATTCCTACTGTCATACTCTTGTTCTAGGAAGCAGAATGGAGGATGGGACAAAAAAAGGGGTCACACACCAAGCAGCTTTTAAGGAGACTTCCCAGCAGCTGCCATATAACACCATTACTTATAACCCATTGGCCAGAATTTAGTCATTTCCTAGTTGTAAGAGAGACTGAGAGGTGTAATTTTTATTCTGGGACCATGTTTCCAGCCCAAAATCTCGGGTTCTATTACAATGGAAGTAGGGGAGAATGTATGTTGGATCATAGCCAACCGTCTTTGCTGTGGGGGTTTTGCAGCGGGTCTGGCTTGTAGGGGTGAAGTCAGAGCAGGATGCTGGGCCTGTGTCCCACAGAGGCTGCATTTGTTTTCTCAGGGATGGACAATCAGACCGTTCTGGCCGTCCAGTCATTGTTGGATGGCCAAGGAGCAGTCCCTGATCCGACAGGCCAGAGCGTCACTGCACCCCCTGCTATCCAGCCACTGGGTGAGTATCTGCTCGGGTTCACCAGTGGAAGGGTGAGTGGCTCCCCATGGAAAATAGGGAGGCTCACATGGGGATGTCAACTGCCCACTATGGTCCCCGGGATGTCCCTTCTCCTCTTCCTCCCAGCCTGGACTTTTAGGCTCATGCCTGTCTCTGCTTAGCTCTGGGGACATCCTCTCTCAACCACTTAGTGAAAGTGGAGAGATGGGGTCATGATGCAGGGAGTAGTGGGAGCCCTGATGCCTGGCAACGCTTGTACCTTTGCCCTGGAAGTGACTATTCAGCCTCCCCTCTACGGAAAGAACAGACTGAGCATGAATTTCTCCCATTTAGAGGCCAGGCCCATGAGACACAGAGAGGATAAGGGACTTCTTTTGGAAGTTTCTGTGGGAGTCTGTGTGTTCATTTATTCATTCCACAAACATTTTTGAGTACTTGGGAATCACACTAGGGACAGGGAGATACACACCTAGGTTTAAATCCTTGTTCCCATAGTTCCTGGCTCTGTGACCCCGGACCAGTGAGTTAACCTCTCTGTGCCTCAGTTTCCACATCTGTAAAAATGGAGGTAACTGTCCTACCTCATAGGAATCTTATGAGAGTACTTGGGATTCAGTTTCAGCTGTTATAAATAAGAAATGAGAGTTTCGTGTGGTTTCTACAGGATTAAAGTTAGTTGCTCTGTTACATGAAGTCCTGATGAGCATTTGGGATGGGTATGGTGAAACTCAGACCCCTTCTTTCTTGTGGCTCCACTGCCCTCAAGCTGTAGGCCAGGGTGGCTGCTCCAGCTCCCACTTCGATTCCACATTCCAGCCAACACAAAGGGAAGACCCCAGGGAGTGGAAGTCATACCCTTTTCTTTTAAGGGGAAGTTGCATATACAGTACACTTCTGTCCTCATCCCATTGGTCAGAATTCTGTCACATGGCATGCCTAACTACAAAGAAGGCTGGGAAATATATTAACAAGGAAACCATGTTTCCCATTAAAATGTGTATTAGGTGTAAGAAGGTTACAGTTAGAATTGAATAACAGACATTTCTGCTACACCATGTTAGGTGCTTGAGGCAGTGCATGCCTGTGGCAGGCCTTTAGTAATGGGTGTGTTGTTAACTGTAGCAGTCATTCATTTAGTTCTTTATTCATTCAACAAACATCCTTTCAGAACCTCTTATGTGCCAAGGAGATATTGTAGCTATGGTGATAAAATAAGATGTATTTCCTTCCCTTAGAGGACTCACAGTCTAGTGGTGGTGAGAAAACTGGTATGAGAGGTGTGCCAGAGGACAGCACTGAGGCCACTGGCAGTAGGAAGGCTTCCTGGAGGAGGTGACATCTAAGCTGAGCCTTGCAGAAGTTGTTCTGAGAGAAGCAGCTTGGCAAGGGGAGCAGTGGGAGTAAAGGCATAGAGGAGTGTGATCACATGGCCCATTTGGCGACTGATAAATAAATTCGGGCAGGATAAAGATTTTGAACTTCTTAGTTTTAAAGTGAACCTGCTTTACTATTTCTTGATTTCTAATTATTTAGTACGTGGTTGCACATGGCCAACTATTCCTGCAGGTGCCCAGGTGGTTTTGAAAGCTGCTAAGAAGCACATAGTTGATGCTTGACACATGCACACCGAGTCATGGAGTACTGCTCAGATCGCTGTTCTCATGGTCAGCTGCAGATGTCCTCCTATTTCTCACAGTGATGTCCCCTGACTTATTCTTGCTTTTTTTCCAATTACTCTGCTCTGTCTGTGCCCCCTTTGCCACTACATCCGTGGGGATGACCACTAGATGACGAGGATGTCTTTCTCTGCGGGAAGTGTAAGAAGCAATTCAACTCGCTGCCAGCATTTATGACCCATAAGCGGGAACAGTGCCAGGGGAATGCTCCCGCCCTGGCCACAGTCTCGCTGGCCACCAACAGCATCTACACACCTTCAGCAGCACCCACGGCCGTCCAGCAGGCCCCACCTCCTGCCAATCGCCAGGTATTCATTCATTCATTTGTTCATTCATTCATTTAGCAAGTCTTTCTGAGCACCTACTGTGTGTCAGGCATTGTGCTGGGCACTAGGGTTACAGTGATGGACAGACAGACCAAGTCCCTGCCTGTGCAGTTGGCCGAGATGGATAGTACACAGACAAATGTATAAAGATGTACTTTCTCAGCATGTTACATGCAGAGGGGTAGGGGATGCCAAGACAGGGTGGGAGGTTTTGCCATATTGTATATCGTATGTGCTTGGAGGAGGACTCTGTGAAGAGGCGACATTTGAGCAGAGACCTAAGAGGGTGAGGAAATGAGTCACGCAGCTAGCATGGGGAACAGTGATCTGGGCGAAGGGATTAGCCAAGTGCAGAGGTCCTGAGGCGGAAGAGTGCTGGGTTTTTCCAGGAACTACAATGAGGTGACAGTGACCAGGGCTGGGTGGGAGGGAGTGGGAGATGATAAGGTTCTAGAAGATTGTGTGGGCCCTATGGGCTTTCACCCAGAGTGAGATGGCAGCCAGTGGGCAGAGGGTGTTGAGCAGGAGAGGGACATCGTCTGAGGCACCTTTTAACCAGGTCCCTCTGGCTGCTGTACAGAGAATAGACTTTGATGGGGGACAAGAGAGAGAGCCAGGGGACCCATTAGGGGGATGTCATACAAATCCAGGCAATGGATGGTGGCAGCTTGACGAGGGTGGTGGCAGTGGAGGTGGTGAGATTTCAGAAATATCTTGAAGGTGTTGCTAACAGAGTTTGTGGATCAGTTGGGTGAGGACTGTGAGATAAAGGGGAGTCAAGGGTGACTCCCATGGGGGAGTTGCCATTAACTGAAGTGGGGGATCTTTGAGGAGAAGATTTTGGGGGGGATGTCAGGAGTTCCGGTGGACACGGTGGATTTGAGATGCTCTCGGACATTTAAGTGGAGATGGTACTGATGTAGACAGTGCAGACCTCCAAGTCTGGAGGTTAGAGGAGAAGGCCAGGCTGCAGGTATCGGAGAAGCTTCTAGAATCCTCAGTCAAGAACACAATTCTAGAGCAAAGACACTCTGGGTGGAGGGCTCATAGATAGATTAAAGACTTCCTCATAAAGTAGGCTGAGCATATCTCAGGATGCCAGGTCAAGGGTTGAATTTCCCTTTAGCTTCGTTTTCTCTCCTTATTCCTTTATTTATTTATTTATGTAAGTATGTAAGTATGTATGAGAGAGACAGAGTCTTGCTCTGTCACCCAGGCTGGAGTGCAGTGGAGTCATCATAGCTCACTACAACCTCAAACTGCTGGGCTTGAGCGATCCTCCTGCCTCAGCCTCCTGAGTAGCTGGGACTACAGGTGTGCCACCACACTGGGCTAATTTTTCTATTTTTTATAGAGATGGGGTCTTGCTCAGGCTGATCTCGAACTCCTGAGCTCAAGCAGTCCTCCCACCTCAGCCTCCCAGAGTGCTGGGATTACAGGCTTGAGCCACCGCACCTGGCTTCCTTATTCCTTTAGAACATTATCTTTATTTATGGTGTAGACATAATTCCTGCCATCAAAATAAAAGCATTCACCCCAGACCCATAGGACATATAGCTTGAAACTTTTCAAGTTGCCACAAATATCTTCTAGCACAGAACATACACATTTTCCTCACTGCTTGATTATGAGTTTTGCTAGCAGAAAATATTCCCTTTCCCCCCTTTTTTCCAATAAAAGGAGAGAGGGAAACTCATCCAGGATTGGGCAAAGAAAAGACTTCAGAACACAAGCAGTTGGTTATGGGCAAGGAGAGAGCCCCTGCCTAAGTGACTGGGATGCAAAATGGGTTGTAATTTCCCATTTTTCGTCTCAGACTAACTCATGTGACATTGTAAAAATACAAGCGAACCAAAATCTATGCTACCTTTCCTGGCCATAACACGGGGCATTTCCCTAACCTGTCTGGACTACCTTTGCTTGGTTGAGGGCAAAGACATCCCATCTCTGAACAGACTCTGAGCACTGGGACCCAGAGCCTCTGCAGTTGCTGGAGGTTTCACAGAGACAGGTGAACTAGAAGGTGCCAAGGGCCTATCCGTATAGAATAATAGAAAACAAACACCCTTTACAGCTACCAAGAGGAGTAGTCACTGATATTTGACACTTTCTTATAAGTTCTGCCTGTCATCCTCACTATTGGTCTGAATATGATATTATTTTTATTATGAATTTGTATGTTTGCAAGTAATACTTGCTTCCCTTCTCCTTTTTAAAAGTTAGAATGTTACAGATTAAAGTCCCTCTGGCAGTATTCCTCTGCCCCTAGGTAACTATTGAGGGATATCCTTTTTTTTTTTTTTTTTTTTTGAGACAAAGTCTCACTGTGTTGCCCGGGCTAGAGTGCCGTGGCGTCAGCCTATCTCACAGCAACCTCAGACTCCTGGGCTCAAGCGATCCTCCTGCCTCAGCCTCCCGAGTAGCTGGGACTACAGGCATGCGCCACCATGCCCGGCTTATTTTTTTCCTATATATTTTTAGCTGTCCAATTAATTTCTTTCTATTTTTGGTAGAGACGGGGTCTCGCTTTTGCTCAGGCTGGTCTCGAACTCCTGAGCTCAAACAATCCACCCGCCTCGGCCTCCCAGAGTGCTAGGATTACAGGCGTGAGCCACCACGCCCGGCCGGGATATCCTTCTTGACTTAAGAATCTTTCACATATTTAAATCCATGCAGGAATTATGTAGTACTATTGTTTTAGATTAAGAATATATAATCTACATATTAATATTATGTAACTTAGTTTTTCATGCAGTTACCTTGTACTTGCTATATAGTATTCTATGCCATGACTATATTGTAAAATTTTTCAATTCATTCCCCTATTTACGGACATTTAGGTGATTTACAGTTTTTCACTATTAGAAACAAGGCTATGCAGAATACTCTGGTTTCTGGACTTCTTTGGGCATGTGTGAGTATTTCTCTAGGATGGATACCAGGAAGTATTATTGCTGGGTCATAACGTATGTGCCTTAGAGAGAGGTGCAACTTATTCTCCTCCTCTGGTGGATGATTAAGTGGAGGCTCAGAGAGGTAGAGTGACCTTCCCAGGGCTATGCAGCAGGGAGCAGCGAGGCAGAGATGGAACCCCGGTCAGTGGGACTCTAGAACCTGGATCTTTTGCACCATACCCTCAGCTTCCTTACAGAGTCTCAGACATGTCCACACATACACTCTCTCATTCTCATTCTCTCTCTCCCTCTCCATCCAGATCTCCACATACATCACAGTGCCCCCGTCCCCACTGATCCAGACCCTGGTGCAGGGGAACATCTTGGTGAGTGATGATGTGCTCATGTCTGCCATGTCGGCCTTCACGTCCCTGGACCAGCCCATGCCCCAGGGCCCCCCGCCTGTGCAGGTAAGAGGTGGCAGGCATCTCACAGGGTTTTGCTTCTAGACCTGCATGTTAACTCCTGTGAATTCAGAATCTTTTAGAATGAGGGGGCTTGGCCCCAGCTCTCTTCAACACTAAGGGGGACTATCAGTTTCCCCTTGGTCACCTCTGCTGTTGGTAGGGAAGCTCTAACACTCATGTGGGGACCCAGAACATAAAAGTTTTCACAGCCATAGTCCAGCCATTTTGACTTCTGGATTTTTTTTTTTTTCCTTTGAGACAGGATCTCACTCTGTTGCCCAGGCTAGAGTGCCGTGGCATCATCACAGCTCACTACAACCTCAAACTCCTCCGCTCAGACAATCCTCCTGCCTCAGCCTCCCAAGTAGCTGGAACTATAGGCATGTGCCGCAATGCCTGGCTAATTTTTCTATTTTTTGTAGAGACGGGGTCTCGATCTTGCTCAGGCTGGTCTTGAACTGCTAACCTCAAGCCATCCTCCTGCCTTGGCCTCCCAGAGTGCTAGGATTATAGGTGTTAGCCACCGTTCCTGGCCTTGACTTCTGCTTTTATTCTTAACAAAAGTGTCCCATCCATTAGAAAAACATTAGAAAATACACAGTGGCTCCTTGGGATTTTTCTGTACAGAAAGGATCTCTGGTCAAACCAGCCTAGGGTGCAGGTGTTCTACTTCTCTCCTCTCTCTGTCCTGGGTTTTTCTTGATTTTATCAACCTAGATTTTTTTTCCCAAACATGTTTGCCCATGGAACCCAAGGAACAGCAATGAAGAGAAGCACGCTTTATGAAATGCTGGTCAGCGTCGTCATTTTAACAGCCACAGAGGATCGCACCTTATGGAGAGACCATCCTCTATTTAGCCAGCTTTCTATGTCTGGACATGTAGGTCGTTGCCATTTTTTCTGTTATGAAAACTGCTGAAGTAAGCATCCATGTACAGACATTTAATATTTTTGCCTACATACTTGATTATTTTTGTACAATAAATTTGTAGAAGTCAGACAGCCACTGACCGATGCCAACCGCTCACACTTGTAATCCTAGCACTCTGGGAGCCCAAGGCAGAGAATCACTTGAGGCCAGGAGTTCAAGACCAGCCTGAGCACAAGTGGGACCTCATCTCTACAAAAAAAATATAAAAATTAGCTGGGCATGGTGGCACATACCTGTAGTCGCAGATACTCAGGAGGGTGAGACAGGAGGATCACTTGAGCCCAGGAGTATGAGGATGCAGTGAGCTCTGACGACACCACTGCACTCTAGCCTAGGTGACAGGGCAAGACCCTGTCTCAAAAAAAAAAAAACAACTTATAGAAGTCGATGGCTGTGTTTCAGGGGTCCACAATCACCCATACACTCCGTGATTCTCTAGAAAGACTCCCAGGACTCAGAGGTTGTTGTACTCATGGCTATGGTTTATTACAGCAAAAGGATACACACCAATAATCTGTCAAGGGATTAGTTAAAAATAAAAACTCACACCAGGTTCAGCAAGGGAAAAAGACATGTCAGGTGGGATCTGGAGGAATCCAGGCATAGGTATCCAGAGTTCTCTGTCGGTGGAGAGGGGAGGGCCTGCACGAAACACACTCCTGCCTCCAGCAGCGAAGTGCAGCAACACAGGTGCAGTGTTTCTTCCCAGGGAAACGCACTTAAGACTCAAGGGCCAGGGTTTTTATTGGGGATTGGTCACATAGGTGACCAGCCACCGTGACCAAAATTCCAGACTCTCAGAAGGGAATAAGTTGTTCACCAAAAATCACATTTTTTGTGCAAACAGTTTAGATGAGCTGGTCCAGTGTATCAGTGCTCAAGGTGGGCAAAATAGCCTTATGAATAAAGAGAATATTCCACAAGCCAAGTTCTCAGACACCAGTCAAGAGCCAGTCTTACAAGCAATCCCTCTTAACGTAGCAACATTAAGCCTACTGTATTAACTCTTTCCAACGTGAACTGGGTCATTCCTGTCTACTTCCATAGAGAGAAGGGATGGCAGCGCCAAGCTGAGGCCTCTTAATTCTCCCATGACTTTGCTTCCCTATCCCCTCTCAGCCCTGTCCTTTGGCTGCCCTGTGAGTAGCTGTTCCTTCCATGTGGCTGGCTAAGGCAAATGTTCTTCCTTGCTAATAAATAAGATAGTTAGTATCAAGAGGCTATAACACTTTGATTTTCCTCTTCTGATTTCAGAGCAGCCTGAACATGCATTCCGTGCCCAGCT